ATATGGCACTGAAACCAAGGTGCTGCTTAGGGCAGGGTCAAACCCTTTAAAAAGGTGAGGGGGTAAATATATGGGATGCAAATGTGAATTACCTTTCATGATAGACTTATTGACGACCCTAGTATCAAGGAGCCTGACAACACCATCTTCATCGGCGATGGCTGCAATGTGTCCTTGTCCACTTTTTGGACAGAACTTGCAGACAAACGGAGGTACGACAATACCGGGCTCCACACCATCCACCTCGTGCTCATCATGTTGATAGCAATTAAAAGATTTGATGATGGTATCATATATAGGCACGTCATTAAGTACATCTGTGGAAATAAACAAACATTCTTCTTTTACATCATGAATAAATTGAAGTGTACAACAACAAAATGTTATTAAAAAAAATAAATTTGTACTTGTGGATGGAGTTATATAAAATAATATAAATAACATATATTTGTTATAAACATGTAAATAATTTTAGTAAATAAGTCATATAATAAAGACTGGATATTTAGCCGGCAGAACGCCTGCTCGTTTACACACCATTTTCGAGATGATTTAGTGAGGGCGCACTCCAACCTTATCCGGTAAAATATTTGGGACTTTTCTTCTGTAAAATATATTTATTAAATTCTAGACTTGGGTAGATATGATCTGTACAGCACATCCATCAACCCTCCTTGCACAGCACATCCATCAACCCTCCTTGCATTTTCAGAATAATACGGTTGGCTTTTTGCTCTGCCAAATACTAGCACAGTCGCCTGGAGGAGGTAAAAGGCCTAAGTAGACCTAAACCAACACCAGCAAAGCTAGCCTAACCGACCGCGACCAACAACCAACCAACCAAATAACCCACTGCACTGGCACGGCACTACCATACCGGCACTTGTTGCAACTGCATAACATACTAACAAAATGGTTGTTTGTCCTAATCACTTACTACTTTTGCAACTAGAAAATTGTCGACGATGAATCCAGCGTATCATCTTCTAAATGAAAATATAAATTTGGATGTATAAAACCACTTATAAAAGGAATAGCATGGGCTTGGCCTACTACTACTTGCTTGTGTATCAATTTCCGTCAGATTCCGCGCGAAAATCCATCATTGGTTTATGAATGAGTACTTACCCACAATCCAATGTTTTGTTTATGAAATAACAAGTTTGAAGTTGTTCACATGAGTGCTACCCCTGCCTGCGATATGTTTGGAGTATGTTTTAGAAACTGATAGAGTATAGAGTAACTTCATCAATATTTTTACAATAAATTACTGTAGTAAAAGTTCTGTTGATAATGTAAAAGGAAACTTTGTAACGTTGAAAAAGGTCTTGGTGACTTGCATAAAAAAAACATAAATAAAGTATAAGGCAATAGAGGGCGCAGTTTGGTAAACTCGCGATGACTGACTTCGACCTGCACTGTGACAACACTCATAGAAAATCGCGAGTTGATAAATTATTAATTTAGTCATAATAAATATTACAATAATTGGCAAGGTAATAGTTTTTTTAAATATATGTAAATTAAGTAATTTAAATTGTGAATTTAATCCAATTTAGTTTCCTAAATAACCGTAGAATCCCCCATGAAATGTTTTTTGCTAGGCCTCGGCAGGGCGACATGCTCGTCTCTGCTCGGACCGAGTGTGAATGTGAATGCACGCCACAACTGTCAACGTCTAGCCTAGGTCTAGCTTAGTATTTACACCATGACTGCTAAAGCTCTATTTTAAGGCTTCGTTTAATGTCTAGTAGGTTGAACGCCGTCTATTATTGAATTACCTTTTATTTATAGTTAGTGCTCTCATAATAATATATTAATAATTAAATGTAATTTTGTAATTCGTAAATGATCTTTTTGTAAATTAATGTCACAAGTAGTACATTAATTATTGATAACTGCAATGACATTTTTTTTTTGTTGAATAAAGATAGCAAAATTATTTTTAATGTAAATTATATATAGGCTCCTGCCTAGGCCTAATAGTATACTTTACTGCTGGTTAACTTTGTCGTCTTTTTAAATTTTATTTTTGAAAAATAGAAAAATGGCAGAAATTGATGACTGGCAGCCTCCAACAGAAGCAGAAATGAAAGTTATCCAAGCTAAACGGGAACGATCCGACAAAATTAGTAAACTGATGGGCGACTACCTTTTAAAAGGGTACAAGATGCTCGGAACAAGTTGTTCCACATGCCTGGCAAGTATAACTTACAGCATTTTATGTCTAGTGCTTCTTATGCTACCGATAAATCAAATTGATTATATTAATAAAATTTTTCCTGTATTTTTCCCTTTATTACAGACAATTTTATTACGTGATAAGCAAAACAAAGATTATTGTGTTGCCTGTAATGAACTAGATACAGAACATGCCAAAGATAACCCAGGTAAGTAAAATATAATTGGAATGATTAAATTGGCATAATCCTGTCTCTTATACACATCTAGATGTGTATAAGAGACCTGACAGTGACAGTTGCGTGGGGATTGGTGATTAAGTGAAGGCCATTAGGTCGCAAAATAAGGTGATATTCGGTTATTTTTAACTATATATTAGCCATGATTTTTTGTTTTGGATATTTTTAATGGGGGAGAATGTAGCAGGGGTGAGGTATTTTTGGGGCCTGGGCGCCCTCCAGATACGGCACTGAATGATAAGATCGTCAAGACATCTTTGCTGTTATTGCTACCCACAAGAAAAATAAAAGAAGTAGATTTGGATCAATAATACTTTTGTATTGAAAATTATTTTCAGTTCTAAGTGAAGCAGCGGCAAGGTCAATAGTTCAAGAAGGTCAACGCCCTCATGAAGTAGCTCACAACGGTCCAATAAACGGATCGGAGCGTGTAACAGAAACCTCAGCTGTTAAGAGGAAATTGGAATCACCTAAAGTACCATACGAACGCAATCAACGTTTACCAACACACCGTAGCAACAATGATGAACTATCGTCAAAAGTTCAGGCAGTAGTGGATGATTCGATGGAAGGTGTCTGCGAGAAGCTTGCATGGGCTCGGGAAGAACTACGTGCTAGCAATTCGATAGAAGTCAGTCTAAAAATCTGTGAGCTGATGAAGCTATGCGCCGAAACTATAGTTACTTTAAAAAAAGCAGGCCCATCAGAGTTATGATGCATCTTCGGTTGAAATGTTTCTCAATCTAGGATTAAACCTAAATTAATTTTCCTCAGCTTCACTGTATTATGGTTGTGGGTGGGGGAAATAGAGGGAAAAGCAGATGATGTACATTGCTCCAGAAATTTGTTGACATGGGGCCTACAAGCCCGATGGCACCTGAACCAAGGGGCCGCCTTAGGCCTCTGGTAGAGTCTAGGAGTGAAACCTGGTGGGATCAAGAGCTTTTAGGATGGCAACATTTTTTGTTTCACCATACCAGGCCCGAGATTTATCAATCTCAGCTTAGCAAATGTCTGAAGTCAAAAAAAAATAAGATGTCCCTAAGCAAATAACTTCAGATGATTTATCAAACCATGTTAGCAAAATCTTAGCGTAAAAATCGTCTTAGATGGCGCAGGCATACAATCGACTTTTTAATTTTAAATTTAAGCCATATTGATAAATTGGACTTAAGCAAAAAAAATGGACTTAAGACAAATTTAAGGTGATTTCTAGTTTGATAAATCTGGCTTCTGGAACTGTAGTCACATTATTTTTGGTGACATTAGCAATTGAATATTTATATTCCTAGAAACCTCAAGGCATCCGACAACAGGTCGTCATCGGAAGTTTCCATTCTGGTCTTCCATAGGATCCTCCACTGTTAACATTCAGGACCATTGCAAAATAGCATTAGTCATAAATTATGCAATTTGCTACATATATTCTGGGTAGATGATATACAAAGCTTTTTGCTTGCCAAAGTTATTAGTTAAAGGTAAAATTGCGTGGGAAGTACAGTACAGTAACAACAGTGGTTTCTTTAAATGGTTGAAAGGAAAATGTTTAGAGATTATTGGATTAATTGTTGAAAATGAGACCAAAGAGTATAAAACTGCAAGAGGTCCGACTCTTGTGGTTTTGTTGAAATGCAATCCTATCACAAAGTACTACCACAAACTAGAGGGCATCCTTCAATAGAACGTAAAAGGTGTTCAAAAATAGGGCGTCCCCTAAACGTTTTATTGGGTACATACCAAATCAGGACAGTCGGACCTTTTGCAATTCTATTATTTTTGATGAGATATTATTATTAGTTACTTTGTGCAATAATAATGCTTACTATTTTGGGATACTGTATATCCATTTAGCCACAGGTGTCCTTAATATTTCAATTCCTGTATGTTTTACCTGGTTTGTATAAACCTCCCCCATCTCCCCTCAGACTTTTAGAATTCATATATGGAATGGGCTTAAGCAAAGTCTAGAGGACCTGGTATGTTCTGGTCTGATGTAAGAACAGGGTGTCTAGAATCTTGGAATGTGTGCATTAAATAAACAAATAAGCAGTAATGTTGTCTATCTCTTGTTGTATGCTTGCCTTAATAAATTGATAATGCAAGTGCCATATCCAGGAATTCAAAGAGGGGCCAGGGAGGGACTTTCAGAGATAGAGTCTAGCCACCTCAGACCCACCATGGTCAGGGCTGAGGGAAGAAAATTTATGATTATAGCACCTCGAAATGGCAACCTCAGACATAAATTTGAACCCAATTTTCTTTTATTCTCCTTTTTTATAATGGCGACTGGGCCCATTTTGAATCCGCCACTGTATTCAAAGTTTCCATTGTGGAACTTGTCTGTCTCGCCTGTACTAAACCCTGTAATTCCTAGATACAAATTTGAACCCAATTTTCTTTTATTCTCCCTTTTTATAATGGCGACTGGGCCCATTTTGAATCCTCCACTGTATTCAAAGTTTCCATTGTGAAACTTGTCTGTCTTCCCATGTTCTAGGCCCTGTAATTTCTAGATACAGTACTTGCTTTAGTGTCAACCAAAACCTCCAATTTTTAAATTTGTACAGTATTTTAATTATGAATTTACTTTTAGCTAGTAAAAGTATGTGTTTCCTACTAAGGAGTACAGTTTAAATTATGAATGCTCTGTGAAAATTAAACATAAAAATTTATTACTTTTGTTGTAAGATACATTTTATTAATGCAAATACTATAGATAAAATAGAATGAGTTGGTTTCTAGAATAATTCTACACATAATGGATGATAAGCTTCAGCACAAAATTTAAAAGTAACATCATGACTATATATATATGGGCATACAACAGATTTTTGTCAAAGAAAATTTGATAACCCGGGCAGACTTCTATAAATAAGAAATTCATTTTTAAATTATTGCTCAAATACTATATTGTGGCAATTTATAGAGCAAATCTGATTTAAAATTATACATATAATAGGAATAATTGTCTATATTTTAATCCAAAATTAATAAATATAAATTTAAATAAAATTTACAAAGCTACAGTAAGGTTATACTGTACTAATAGATAAAGACTGTCATATAAATGTCATGGTGAAATAAAAAAAAACATTTCAAAGGAACTCATTTGTGTTAATTGGAAACACTTTAGGTTGGACAGGAATGGAATGCTGTTTTAATATACAAATAATATATACTGTAGTCCCAGACAACTATAATTTTTATAAACTACCATGCTCCTGTACATGGTTTCAATTAATTTGAATAATAAATTTAAGCCATGTACACGGACAGGGTACAGTACGTTAATTGTGATTCAACAAATTGTATACATATTCTTGTGTTTATTTAAATATATTAGTATTGCTTATTGTGTAGCTACCTCTAAATTTAAGTCACGGTGTCAGTTGAAAAATCAAACATCTATCAACATTAGATGATACATTCTAATACTAGGCTAGGAAAATTTCTTCTTGATTTTGTAGCACAATCATTCCCATTCAGGTTACAATTTCATGCCTTTTCATGCCATTCTTCCCAACCTTTCCTGGTCCCACTACTGGCTATGCCAGCTTCTTGTTTTTGAACAAAGGGTTGATTACTAAAAAGTACCATAATCATCTTAATTAAAACCATAGGTCTTTATCCCTTTGTTTGATTTTTAGGATGGGTTACTATTAGAGTATAGGGTTACTGTTATTAGGCATACATTAAGTATTGTAAAATAATAACAAACACATGCTCCCTGTCTCTGAAATTCACACCAATATCTGTACAAGTAAAAGAATGTAGGTACACATTCTCGATTTATCATCATCATCTATGACAATCATCAGTAGCATCTGATACCAGTACTGTACATAGGTTGAAACGTTTTTTTTCCTCTAGTAATAGATAATTATTGTAGGTAGGTCATAAATAGAGTACTGGATTTCAATCAGAAGTTTCAAGTTAAATACTGGATGGGTTTTATGTTTGGTTAGCATTTTACAGCAATAATCTTTACATTTTTTTCTGACGGTTAGAAATAATGCCCTAAAGGTAATTTCCCTGAAAATTAAAAACATTCTTTTGTAGCTTCGTCATCGTTTTCATCCTCATCATTATCTTCAGTGGTGTGCTTCTGAAATTTGGCAACAGATGTGTCTGAACCCACAACCTCGGCCTAAGTCCTAGAAAAAAATCCCTCGTAGGGTTCATTAGGAGATTTCTGCGGCTAAGTATGGCCCAAAATTATGCTTTTAGAACACATATTTAGGAATTGGCGATCAAAGTAAAGTTATCTGGGTAGGCAAATTAATATTTTTGGTCCAACAACTTTGTTGTGGTATCAGACAACGGTGGTCCAGTCATGATCAGTGAGAAAATTCACCCTCTGACCACCCCAACACTCCCAGTGGCACAACTGCTCATCCTCATCATCAACATCATGTTAGGCACTTCAAGATTTTAGTGGCCACAGGTAACAGTATTCATTTGTGAAGTCTTGCAAGTTATGTTGAGCTATTGGTTACATCTTTTGATTGCCAGGAATCAACGTCAACTAGATTTCTCTATCAGACTCTGTTCTGTCAATCAATTTTTTAAGTAATGGCTCATATGACCACTTTGTAACCCTCTTCCCTGTCTTTGTATGTGTACAGGACAAGAACATCTGTCACCCTACAGCAAAACAGAAAATAGATTTCATAATAAAGTTAGTTTGTAACATAAATATTGATCAAAATTATGAGAAGACCACATCTACGATATTATATTTATTTGTCCTGGAAATTGGAAATATGGACTTGGTCCTGGAGACCCGTAGCAGCCACAGTGCAGTGCAACCATGTTCAACTCTAGCATATAATAAATAATACAGTACATATGAATACAAACATTTCTTCAACCCGCCTAATTCTCAGTGCAAGAGTTAGTTGAAGACCAGAGACCAGACTCCAATTAAAAGCAGACGCTAGCTTGAACTGGGTTCCACAACGCAAGAAGCAGGCAAAACATGGCATTAAACACTTGTCTAATCCTAATAAATCAAAGATTATCATGTGGCTTTGTGAGATTACAATGTGACTACATGAGAACATCACATGACCATGTGAGACTTGAACAATAGTAAATACGTAAAACAAAAATCCTACTTCGTCTCGATCTTGATCTCCATCAGTTCATCGCAGATAACTTTCAGGTATTTTCTGTATTTTTGGTGTTTCTCCATCAAGTGAAATACACTATCATGATAAGAGTTCTCATCGTTATCAAACTAGAGACAATAAAAAGAAAAAAATACACAAATCAATAGTGACGGTAATAATTAAAAAAAATAAAACAAAATAATTAAAATAATAAAAACTCATCTGTCGTAGCAAGCACTCCGATTACTTTCAAGCACAGATGAACTCTTCAGATTCAATCAGGACCCACCAAAATTTTCTTGCAATTTTTCAATCCAATTACTTTTGTCAAATTCTCCCGAATTTAAACAAAACCCCACATTATAAACAAGATCGGCGTACAGAGGCTTTCCAGAAAAAAAAAAAAAAACAACATGAGAAAACAGTGGTTTAGGTCGGACTTGACTAGGCATTCTGTTACTGTCACCTGTCTGCAAGCTACGACTGTTAAAGTAGTCAAGACCACACCCATACGCAATTCAGCACAATGACATGGCAAGTTATGTGTGATTCTCCTACCTATACCTTTACCCCTTGTTCTAGTGAGCAATGTCAATAGTCATTTTATACCGGTAATTTATTCATGAAATTAATTAATACTATTACAACAAGTCAATAATATCTTGTATAATACTTACATCTAAAGTTGCTATCATACTCTTAACAACAGACATAGGCAAATCAACCTGTCACAGAAAACAAACAAACACCTAAATTTCAGAACTAACAAACATCAGGTCGGTGTGAGCATGTATATTTTACATATCAGCTACAATCAATACAATAATAATAATAATAATATAAGGCTTTAAAAAAATTGTTTGTTTGCCCTCCAGTACCACTCCTGAATTCCAAAGAATTTTGGAAAGATTACCCCAAGGTTAAAAAAAAAAAAAAAAACACATTTTCCCATTTTTTCACAAAATATAAGATGCCGAGATTGTTTTTTTTTTTTTTTTTTTTTAAATGATAATTTATCCGTACTAAACTAGGCCTACTTGAAAATGATGAAAATTGTGTGTCAAAAACATTGTGTTCGATCATGCAAGTCTTGAGAATGTTGGTTGGGGGGTGGGGAGGTGAAACAATTTTTTAGGCCTAATCAATATAGAAGTTAATATAAATCTCTACTCTTGCTTTTAAATGAGGTGGAACTTAATTCAAACTGAAGAATAATGAATAACTTACTGCTACAACTTCAACTTTAGTCTTGGAAGAGAAGTTTTCAAGAAGCTGTGAGATTCTTGATTGTATCTATATCATAAAAAAATTACTAAATGAGAACATAGCAAAAAATAAACCATTCTGTTTAAATAAATATGATTTATAAATAGATTTTGATTATACTGATAATATAATTACATGTCCATTGGTTTATATTATATTTTTAATTTATTATCTTATCAATAGACTTTCAAAATATTTTACCCTTCTCTCAATTCTCTTTCGATCAACAGCATCCAGTTTGTCTTGCGGTACAAAGCGAATATTATAAGAGGCATTGATCGTGACTGAATCAGCGCTAATTTGATGATGTAGCCCAGGCGACTTGCTACAAGACACTCCAGAGTCTAAAGATTCACTGAAATGAAAACAAGAACAATGAATAATTGGAATTTAAAGCTCACATTTTGCCAAGTAAAACAAGATATTGGAGCAAACATTAAACAGGAATGATCTTTCGGCACTGCCGAACCAAGGCTCTGTAATAACCATTCTTTGACAGTTCTAAGTCACTACTCTTTCTTGAACAGCACCACGAGCAATGACTGTCAGGATGGCACCATATAAATAGAACAATTGATTGAATGATGTTGCTTGTTAATCAAGCCAGTGACTAGGAGGGGTAGGGGATTGGGATCTGATTTCTTGAACCATTAGTAATATCATCATTCTATATGATGAACCAATAAAGTGTCAAATTATTAAAAAATACAGTATATAAATCTTACACTTTTTCATGAGATGATTTTTTTTGCAGGAAGTATTCTACAAGTCCACTGATGTCGACTCTTGTCTCCTTAAACTCAATCTGATTCTTCTCATTCTCAATTGACCTGACCTGGAATTGATGCAAGCAAATTGATAGTCCAATCAAAACAATGATCGTGAAAATTAAAATGAAACCCTTTTTTTTTTAAAGGAACTACAGGTACAGTTTATCGAAAAATGGTTAATTTGTTTACCTTCACTTTCTGACTTTCTAAGTCCTTAATTAGCACCATGTGAGTTATTCCAACAGATTTACAATATTCCTGGATTTCTTCTAATCCCTATTAATACAGAAAAATACATGATCATAATGATTATAATACCAATGACAGATTTACAATAATCCTAGATGTCCTCTTTTTATTATTAATTTTTTTTTTTAATACAATGATCATCATGATAATAATCTGTAAAGACATTTTTAACCATTTTATATCTGTCTTGGCAAATGAACACTGGCCAGGTGGTTGAGTCCAGGATTCTTAAGCTTGGTCCACCCTATCAAATTCTACATGACAAATGCGTGTGATGTGCCCATATATGGGCATGATGTCATATTACACCCAAATATGGGCATATCAGATTTGTTTTGTCACATAAAATGTAATAGTGTCGACAGAGCTTTATATATTAAGAAGCCTAAATGTGTTGTCCCTTAACGGCATGTCAGACTCGAGGAAAAATTAAAGATTCAGCCATCTCTTGACTTGAATAAATAAATACCACTTAATTCTTACGGCATGTAGCGACCTGAGATGGATGGTTCTATTGCACTTGTAGGGAAATCATTTAAAGAAACAATGGCAATTTATAGTCAGTTTATCTTGGTAAGTATTCAAAAAATAGATTTCTTACCAGCAACGTGTCACAAAGAATATCTGCTTTGAGCCCAACGGCCCAAAGGTCACGAACACATTTCAACTTGTCCTTCATTGAGCAGCTACTACCAATTGCACATACTAGAATATCACAAGAACTAGGAGTCTGCAAAATGCATAAGAAATGGTAGTTTATAAAAGATTATGTTTACACAGAGGAAGTTCCCACAAGGTCATGTGATAATTCAGACTGACCCATCATTCATTATTTGTTTTCTTCAATATAAGCACACTAAAAATTACCTGATGAAATATAATGTATAAAAGAACACATTCTAAGCAAAGATTGCCAAAATTGAAAAAAATCTTGCTTAAAGTCCTGATGTTTACACTGGACCTGTTTTGGTTAAACTGGCTATGTAGAGAACCTGGTTATTTTGACCAAAGAAATTCAATGTGAACAGTCTGCACATTACCAAAACTGTGCTGTAGATTAAACTGAGCAAAGAGGCGCTCAGGAATAAAATCCCAATGCAAATAGCACAATTCGGTTAAGTCATCCTGCATGGTGGCAGTGTGTAAATTCAATAATATCATTGCACATTTGTGCACCAAACAGTTCAAATTAATTTCGTCTCACCTACATGTATGTAATAAATTACCATTCATTGGCTTAGTCTAACATATATAATACATACAACATTCTGGAATAACATTTATTTGACCAAACAAACAGTGTAAACCACATTGGTAATTATAGGAACACAAGAGACCATGTGGAATCCAAGAGAAATATCTGGAAGTTTCTAGATACTGAGTACTGTAGGAGCAAGAAGCCTATTGGTTAATTATGATGTAATGTGACTAAAGAGGAACTTAGGTAATATAGAATACTCTGGAATTATAGGGTTCATGTTATAAGATAACAGGTTTTTCTTTCTTGAGCTTTTTTGAAACAGATGTTAATGTAAATATTTGGTGTTGTTGTTAGACCGGAATCTTGTTGGAGCTTACACAGAATAAAAGTTTATTTGAGAGGGATTCCGAGTCATTTCTTTACCGCTGGGAAATACGTCAAGTAGGAATTCATGACAATGTACAAAAATGCTACTCTACATTAATATTAGTAATAAACAATACAACAAAATATATTCACAAATCAGAATTGTTGTCATCTACCAACCTCATCTGAGTCCTGTAAAGCAGCTACTACAATCTTCTCTAAGTGAATGCTAACCCCAACAGCACAAGGGCAGAGCAAACTTTGCAATGACGTGGACACAGCATGTCTGAATAAAGGTATCTGTAGAGAAAACATATAACAATCTTCTTGAGGCAATCTTGATAAGATTACAAGATTATCTTTATTATGCCTCGTTTCCATAAAAATTGTTACACACTATACGCTGTCACCGACTCCTTTGGCAACACTGGTCATTTGAATCAGGGAGGGTTCCCGATTGCATTGGGGACAGCTAATTAGTGCAAAGATTGCAGTGAAAACACTGTAGTGACCGTGTAGCAATTTTATGGAAACCACACTTAAGATTGCTTAAGGGTATTTTATTAATATTACCTTGCACTTCCATTCTCCTAATTGTAAACTGACATTGTAATACCCAAATATTTATATTGATTTTATTACATTTTTAAATAAATTAATTGAATTGCAAGTGGTTAACATTTAACTAATAATGGTAGTCAACCAGCCACAAAATAAATCAAGAGAATTCCTACAGGTTGGTTTATATTAATTTTTTTAATTGTTAAAGAGTCATTTTCTTAATATAATTTGTATAAGTTTTCGGTAATTAGTGTAAACACAGTTAGATGTCTAAATAAAACCATTACAATAAGGTTTAAGATAAGCACAAAATAAATTCAAAAAATAAAACTTACTAGTTTATCATATCTGCCTCCAGCAGCAAGTACATCCATTCCACTTTTGCCTTTTTTACGACGTAAATTGGCAACAAATTGGAACATTATACCAGAATAAAGGTGAACATTGTAAACGAGAGACAAGGAAATCTTTATCTGGAAAAAAATGATGTGAACTTCATCATTTAGTGCCTTGAGATGGACAGTTCTATTTTCTTTGCGGGTTTGCACTTAAGAAAACATGGAAAAAGTATTGGTTTATACAGAAGTAATCACAAAATAGACTCAAAGACCATTCATTGGTAAGCTTTCCTTCATAAATAAAAAGGGAATGAGAAAGCTGGCTTCATGTTAGGCATTCTATCAGTTTCATTCAAGTATTTATAAGACAGTGACAGTTCCAGGAATTTAAGTAGAGGGGGCCCAGGGAGGAACTTTCACAGATAAGGTGTTAAGACCACCTCAGCCCCACTATGCTTGAGGCTGAGGTAAGAAAATTTGATTATGGCACCTCTTGACAGCCAAAAATGGCACTCTCAGACTTTTTAATATAAGATTCTTTTTCTCTCTACTTATTTATAATCTTGAAAAATTTAGGGCTCCCGAACCCGCCATTTGAATCCACCACTGCAAGATACAAAATCACGTCAAACTCACCTCTGCTCTTACTCCAAGCACTTGAGCATTTGTTATGACCGTCTCCAGCTCGTGCAGAGCCTGCTTAGCCATTGAGGCATTTGGTCCTTTGCCCTTACACACCAGTTTTAGCTGCCTATTAATCTGGCTTATTGGGCCTTCCATCTCAACATACATGTATAAATTACTAACCTAAAAAAGAAACAAAATTTAATGGATATTTATGAAAACATTTTTGATTTTAATCTTTTAAAACATATAAGAAAGCGCACTCATATATCAATATTACTATTATTAAGTGATTATTTAACTCTTTCACTTTGTAATTGACTGATTCTTTTATGTAATTCTGTCTACTTGATTTATTTATATACTGTAGTACTACTGTTGAATTTTGAACAAATAAAATTTTTTTAAACTGTTTATTTTTCAAAGATACAATCTATTATTACTTTAATATCATTAACATTACTTATATAATTGCAATAAAATTACAACCACCTTAGGCTTTGTCTACACTATCAAATTTTATCCAAAAAAGCGTCACATAAAATGTGATGGAAAATAAGAGTTGAACATGTTCAACTTTTTTTGGTACAATTTGGTAGTATGTGATATGACGTCATCGTACCCACAAAATATGGGCACATCACATTTTTCTGTCACATGAAATTTGATAGTGTAGACAAAGCTTTAGATTTATTGTTATATCTATCAAAAACTATCAAAGAAAAAAATAGTCTGGATTTTTCCATCCACAAACCCAGTACAATATGAAACAGATATAGCTAAGTAGTTAGGTATATGTATGCTACTAGAGATTATACATAATAAGAACAAAATTAATAAACATGGCTTACTTGTTGTTCTGTGATTGATAGACTAACAAGCCTTGTCTGGATCTGTACTTTGGTTAACCTTTCAACTTTGGCATCACTAAGAATGCTGTACACAGCGCTATGCTTGTTCTCAGGAATCCCACAGTGATTCAAGACGGCTGTTAACAAGAGTGTGTGATTCATATGAATGAAATAGTTGCGAGCCTGTGAAAACAAAGAATTTGTTGACTAAATGCTTAAATATTTTTTTACTACACTAGGTTAATAATAAAAGGTTAGTATGTTTGATTACAGGTTTTTATAGGAATTCCAGTATCTCAATCATATGTATATTGAAAGGAGCATGTGGCACAGCATGTAAAGCCTTGGGCTTAAATTTGGAAGGTTGGGGGTTCAAGTCCAAAGCTCATCACACTGTCTGTGTTCTTGGGCAAGACACTTAAAATGCATTTGCCTTTTTTCATCCCGGTGTATAAATGGGTACCTGGTAGGAGGAGATTGATTCGAAATGAAATTAGTAGTGCTGATTACACGCATAACTAGGAATACTCTTAAGGGAGTGGAGGAGGTTGCACGTTGTGTATGATGATGATGGTAATGATTCTGTATCCAATGACCAGGGAAAAAAGTGCCTTGAGCAATTCTTCCATAATTAAATATGTGGGCTATATATAAAAATACAAATAAAAATAATAATAAAAAGCCCTGTATAACCTTGCAAGATATTGGAGATATGAATGAGTGAATTTTGAGACACCATATGAAAGGTTCTGCCCACCTGTAACGATGGATACTCGTTAATTATCTCTGTAACGACATGTAACACCTCTGCATCTGGAATCAGGGTACCTTGCGTACTACTCACGATGTCAAATGAACATTCTGTTAGCTCACGTGGATGACTGCCATATAATTATGTTGTAAAGATTTATAAATATAATACAAAATTGCTAGTTCAACTGAATTCAGACATTCCTAAACATGGAAAAATGTAAAATAAGACTGAAATTTGACTTTTTGTGTTCCACACAATTTGTGTTCCAGACATTTTAGCCTACCCAACACTGCTAGTCTAGGTGTAGCTTTACTCGATTTAGGTTCTGTTATCAGACATAAAAACAGCCGACATGATATTTTCTGTTGCTAGTATTGACACTTGAGACATATAACACTTCATTGGAATTAATTCAAATTTGTTAACAAAAATTATTCTGACCAAGATTTTGACAATTAAACACACATATCTAAGGCCTACCCGATCGACCGCAGTACAATAACTAGTCTCATTAGAGAGGGTGCAATTTATTGAATGTACAAAGTATACACAAAAGTGAGAGCATTCCAGTGGATGCAATCTACAACCTCTGAATTTGCCTAGTAACGAAGAAGTCGTTAAGAATATGGTAATCTCCTATGAGAAAAAGTCCCTATATCTCATTATTTTTTATCCTTTTGTGTAAAACTAAAATTTATGCCACTATTTTTCCATGGTTTATAATAATTAGAGTAATGCATATGCATTTTTTTCTGAAAAAATTCTTTTAGTGAAATTTTGCCGGGAATGGGGCTTACATATTATCATATTTTCTTTCTAAAAAATGTTCAAGTACATGGTTACAGAAATAAAAATATGGGAAGAAGGAAAATTTGATTTATATATATACAAATTCTTGTTCTTTAAGTAGAGGTAGTTATGATAATGCAAAGATATGTGAAATTATATTTCTAACCTTTTTAATCTTGTAATGTTATTTCTTGCAACATAACGTGCAAAAGAAACCTTCAAAGAGAGTGAAACAGAAGTATTATATTCCAATCAAATTAAATTAAATATTGTCAATGATTTAATGAAAAAACAATAATGAAAAATACTTTATATGTTCTTTATGAAGTGCTATATAAATTGCAAGTATTAAAAGAGGTCAAACAATATTTATCTAGATTTTTTAAAATTGAGTTTCTCCAAATTTCCCACACATCTCCTTTTCTATCACAGAGTTTGTGGAATGAAATCATGATATAAAACTATAAAGTCCTTACCCTAAGGTCATAGGGCAATGTAACCAGTCCTCCGCTATGGTCCATCAATGTCACACACATTTCTGTATTCTGATACAATTCATTTTTTGGTAGTAGTAAAGGAGTGGAAAGACGAGTGGCACCATGTTTTTCAAACACACGGCAAATGGTGTAATACACGTTCTGTTCTGTTACTGACGGCTTCAGATGGTGTTGACCCTAGGGAGGAATAACAGTCAATAATTAGAACCCTCAAAAAACGAACACAAAAATGAACACCAAAAACAACAAAAGCAATATCGTTGGGCATGAGTCAGTAAGTGAAAAGCAATCATAATAACTCAACTGTAAGTTATCCTGCTGTTTACTATCACTAAAGCATAAACCTCCTGGTTTAGATTGGTATAAATAGGGTATAAAATTGAAATGTAACAAAGTGTTGGTATAAATGGGTGGACTTTAGGTCATCAAACATTACTTTAGCCTAGTGTAAATTGAAATTTCCTCCTATACCACACCCATCTTACTCAAGTGTGTTTGCTGGTTTGGCAGTGTAAAAAAATATTATTTGTAATAATGTAAAAAGATTATTTGGATATAAGACATTGTTTGATCAGCACTACAAGACATCAGGTACATGCAAGTTTTCTTAAAACTCCTATTACAATTTTTGTATAACAATATGTAATGAGATATTTTAACATTAGTTTTTGACAATGATTTTATAGTTTTTGCTTTGTAATTTACAAATATATTTATGATTATATGAATTTATCATAATAAATTAGCGTTCTCATCGGTATCAGAAAGCCACCATAGACAGTGATTCAGTTCACTTTTTGGCAATCCTGTCCAGCCAATTGAGTTATTTTTTATTGTATCTGTCACTATGTTTTTGTCAGTGTTAATGTTCTTTGAACCACACAAATAAATGAAAACGAAATATACCTTATGAATGTCGGTATCATAGATGAAGTCTGCAGTGGGAGTGACCTCCTGTGAGAAGAGCTCTGCCATCATCCGATGGTATGCAGTTGATTCTGTGTTTGCTATTGTCTGGATCAACATCTCATTCAGTCTTTTATTCTCCTCCTCGGCTGGAGGAATGTGCTTGCTGCGGAGTAATTCAGAGGCCATAGGTCGTTGGCTAGGGTCATGGTTCAAGAGCCAACGAATGATGAACGCATGCTCTGTCATGGTGATCTCATCAAATTCATCAGGAAATTGAATTGACTCCTAAAGTATTCATAAAAAATAGCTTTAAAAAAAACTAAAACTTTAAAAACTAATGTTGTGTTGTGGTACGTTTAACTTTCTTGTGGATGTTGACCTACCTGTCGTAAATTCTGAAGTATCTTAACTCGTTCCATACCAGTACTTGGCGATGGAAAACACATCTCAAAGAAGATAATTCCAAGACTGTATAGATCAACTTTCTACAAAAATAAAACAAAGAAAACTAGAATTTGACTTGATGTGGTTATTAAATTTGACACCCAACTTTAGTACAATTTAATATACAACTATTAATCATAAAAGAAAAAGAAAAATACATTAAGGCCTTGGACTGTTATTAGGAATACAATTGCTTGTTTTCCTAATTGATGGACATAACCAATGAGATTATCCCATCAGACAGTACTGTAACTGACATGCCTCTTAAAGTTTGAATATTCTGACTTTAAATTAAAAGCCTCATTGTTCTCATCTATATGGAAGAAAACATGTGAAGGAAATTGTGGCAAGCATACCTGATTGTAGGTACCTCTACCTTTACACAACTCAGGACTGACGTACAATGCAGTGCCAACTTGCCCCGTCATGTAACCAGCACCTACGAATAAATTAACAACAGGTGAATGTCATCAGTCAATGGCCATATTCTACCAAACCCACCTGCGCAGCAGTAAAATTCTACTTAACGAAGACAACCTGTCGAATAAAAAACTTGTAAATACTTGACAAAACAAAATGGCTGCATAGTTATCGCGACATTTCCTGCGTAATCAAGATTGCTTCAGCTTGTTACAGTATGGGTTTTTATAAAACAGATATTTTTATATCCAGATTTTGAATTCTGTTGGCCTTTATTTTGTCTTCATGTGGGTAAATTTTATAATTTTTATTAAATCTAAATTATATTAACGCAAATGTTGTTTCTAAACTGACCAACCGTCCATGTTTGTTTTGGTCACATGGATAACTTAACGCTCTCTGGTTTAAGATAATTTTCTATTTTCTGGTTTAAGTCTATTTTACGAACCAGTCGATTGAAAATAATAATTAACGAAAAATCGTAGTCAAGGAAATAAACCAGACGAATAAGCCCAATGACACCTGGACACAGATGAACTGTAGAACACATTTATCAATCTACGCCTAAATGCTCTTCATTGTTTGATTAGGTTTAATAGTCAATCTAGACTAGGCCTACTTATTAAATTTTAAAGATATTAAATTCCATATGACATGGTGTACATCAATCACACAAATCAAAAGTAATGTTGTTGGTCTATGAGTGAGCAAAAAATAACCGAGGCAATATATATACACCTGTGTTAGACGATTCCATTGTATTTTTCCAATTTTCAGATAAGTTCCAAATATCGGTTCATCCAGGAAGGTATTCACAAAATACAGTAGACGTTTCAATTTACGAACACTACTTGGCACTAAAGGGTACTAGAAATAGACATTTTACTCTCTTCCAAAACATT